TACTTGGCGCGTTGGGCAACCCTCTTACGCCAAGTCACCTGCTGCATCAAAAGCAACCAGAAAAGAAGTTATGTCGGACAAACTGAGATCTAGTGCTAGCATTTTTACCATTAACAAATAAATGCTCTTTTAAAACCATTGCTAAAAAGATAACTGACTGACCCGATAACTGGATCCCACACAAGACTAATAGATAGCCTGTGGCAATTCTATTTTTAACACGGCATTTACAGCAATTCCGTGAAAGTAAGAGCTGCGACCCCGAAGCCTAATGTATTAGGACTTAGAGACCAGGATACCTTCGGCATATTTATATAGGCTGCTTAGCCTCTTCAATCACTGCGCCAATAACCACCTCCGATGGCCTTTATTAAGTCTTCGCATGAGGCATGGCCTGTTTGTGCGACCCATTCCCTAACCCGACAACAAATGTTAACCTATTAAAACATAATGGATAAGGTTAACGTTAGAATTGGAAGTCGGGTGAGGCGGGCGTAAATGGATACAAGTGTAAGACAGTCTGGACGCGTAAACATCCAGCTCACTTGAACGATGACGACGGGTATATACGTTACTTTTCTTTGTCAAGGCGATACCGCCTTTTTTCGTACTTAAAACTGCCTAACACCTACTGTCGTCGTTCCCGTATTGTACGCACGCCTATCGAGTGTGTTCCTTACGGGCGGGGGATGTAAAATCACTCGATGATGGCTAGAAGGGCCGCGCAAACAGCTGTTGCCATTAAGGCAGAATCGTGTTAAACGGGTCCACAGTGGTCGCTTTTGTCTTTGACTTTTAATAAAAAAACGACTTTCATATTTTTAGTAGCCCAACTTCCCAAGGCTTTTCCTTTCCTTGTTGGGATTGGGGCGGCCTCAGAAGACAGCCTTACTAACTAACGATAATGAGGTACCTGATTTACATATCATATGGAGGACAGTTGAAATTGTACAAGAGGAGTTTTAGCTAACGTCCATTAGTCAGCCAAATGGCCTTTCACATTAAGATGTTTGAGCTTAACTGTTGAGTTAGCGAATTAGTACGCAACCGTACACCAGATAGATGGCGGCCAGGTGCTCAATATGAAGGTATTGTAAACGCAGTTTATTAATTTCTTTTGAATAAATATTTAAGGTGCCGCGTTGACCTTTCTTATGCCTCAGTTCCCATTTAAGATGAAAAGTCCGTAGACTGCCTTTTCTTGCACCTTATGCATCCTTGTGGATTCTTCAAAAAGACGCCAAATATGTGTCATTCATTCCCTGCCCGGGTCTAACTCTTAGCTTACCCAGCACGATCTATTTTTAGATGGGTCTGAACGACAAGGAGCTTCTTGAGGAGTTACACGGGCTGCAAAATAAGGCTGGATTAGGCAATCCCCTGCACAATTGATCAGTACTTGGCGGCCCGATGAAGCTGTCTTTATGCCCCCCTCCCCCTTCCTGCCCATTCGCATCCAACCACGCGACACAATGCCGCACGATATAAAAAAACACAAATTTCTGGTCATTTCAGTATTTGTGTGCATTCTGTTGTCTAAGGTTGTGATAGTCTGGTTAGTTCTTTCAATGAATTAGAATTTTGACAGTGTCCTTTGCTCCTTCAAAAACCTCCAAATCTTGTCTTCGTAAGGAAATGAACGGTGACTACTTTCAAAAATTTAGAAAGGAGGTATAGTAAAATACAAAGTCAAAAGCAGTCATGGAAAAAGCAAAAAAATGAGAAATCGTTGAGGACTTTCACGCGTCAACTGTTGTAGCAGCACGGTTGACGTGGATTCCCGGCAGGCTTTTGGTCTTCGACTCCCGTTGGCTTTCCCCGCCAGGTCCAGAGCAAGCATAAAGGAAGGGAACCCGATCGATATTCTGCAAAAAGGCACGTTCTAAGTTTGCGAAAAATCCCATTGAAAATTTTAGACGATAAATTGGCGAACATACGTTTGTTCCCGATAAAAGCTTGTCAGGCCTGTACATTTATATCGTAATTAACTGAGTAAACTATGCGGGCTGGTAGAAAAAATAATGTGGTTGTTAGGGTAGGTGGGGGAGGGGGGATTAATCGGGGTCAAACAGCTGATCTGCGTTAGGGGAAACTGGCAGCCGAGAGAGCTGATAAGCCGCCGGCTGTTGGATGAGCGACTTTCGGTCATGCTTAATGCAGCACCGCTCCGAAGTTTTTTTGGGTGCACAGGACTGGCAATGTAGACTGATCGCGGCCGCTTCTGCCGTAGCCAACAGGCGCTGCCCAAGGAATTTTGAATAGCTCGAGCGCACCTTGCAGATCACTTAGGAGGCCTCCCTGGCATCCATGCAATGGTCTGAGTGTCAGGAGTTTAGCCTGACCAAATGCTAGCAACATTTGGAGGCTTTCCTGAGGCG